AAATAAGGATTATATAGCTTGGATGCAATTTATTTTTTTAATAAACTGTGTACTCTGTAGCCACTGAAGTACTAAGTTATGGACTGATTTAAGAATATAAGGGTTAACATATAATTTGTAAGAGAATAATGACTAGTTAAGTTACTATTTGAGGACAAAATTGTAATTAACTTTACATGCTGGGGCGAATCTGGATCAGAACTTTAGACTTATTTTATTTCTTAAAGGAAAAGGCATGTGCAGTAGCCTGTGGTTGGCTGGAGATGGCGGCGGAATCTTGCATTTCTTACACGTGTTTTACACTTGCCATTTTTGCACAAGCAAATCAGAACAAGACCTTACTCAAGGCGACAAATGGTCGGAGAAGGGCAGGAGGGGACACAATTATTTCTTTTTTTTTTTTTTAATTAGCACAGTGAACTTATAATCTTGACAAATAAACACAATTATTTTGTTTTTTTTCACTTAATTTATCTAAAACAAGGGACTAAGTGTCGGTGGTATTTTTAGGATTGGATCCAAATAAAAGATGCATCAATAAATCAAATCTAACTGATTTAATTTTTTAAAATAGCCAACAATCTTTCACATCTGGTTGTTTATAGAGAAACCCTTTATCAAAGTACAGTGAAACAGTACTTTAGAGATCTCGTACGAATTGGACCGTGGCAGAGCAAGCCAACAAGCGTCATGAACAAGCAGCAAGTTTAAGGAAACTACTAGCTTATTAGAACAGTGAAAATGCAAGTAAATTGGTTTGGAACAATGACTGAACATACCAATTGGATTAAAATTGGCCCAGGAGCTCTCAGTTTGAGGATCACCACACACACACACACACACACCTCTGAAGTAGATGTAAGCAAAATCCTGCTCTCTGGTATCACAAATGAGTGAATCCATTCAGTGACCGTTCTAAAAATAAGAGTACAAATCCAAGATAAGCCCATCACACTTGTTTTTATTGCCTGAAAGATATCACATTTTTCCGAGTTAAAATGTCCCTTAACAATTTAATACGAAGAACATGTTCCTTGTAACGTTACCTATTCTACATCATGAGGCTAGAAAGCACCAAGCTAGTGGGATCAGGAATAGGGCTCGCTAAGAAATTCATTTTCCCAGGGATTGAAACAGCTAGCGAGACACAGGCAGGCAATGCAATTACCTAGCAAAGGGATTTTTGGACCCAAGAGGAACCGTAACTTTTAAATCCACAGGAGCTATACACCACTGCGTTGCATCATGTATTAGGAAGGAAAAGATTGGTGTCAAATATTAAGATCTGAAAACCGAAAGACAAGAATATACCATGACGAATAAGCTCAAATAATGGATGTCCATTGCGTTTCCTGAGGTTGTCTTTACATCCAGTAAAGTAGTTATCAGCAACAATATAGCCTGATGAGTACGAGGTGCCAGACATGTAAATCAAATCGGACAACAATTATTGTGTGTCAAAAACTAATTCATACTGAGCCAGAAATTAGAAAAGGGAACATGCATGCTGGGTCACCTCATTTTCCTAATTTCCCTTCGGTTTGTCTAGCAACTAAACTTTTTTGGGTGTATTATTAGAATTGTTTTTTAAATAAGTTTTTGTGTAAAATATATTTTAATGATTTTTTTATTTTTAAAAATTATTTTTAATAGCAGTGCATCAAAATAATTTGAAAACACTAAGAATACGCATCAAAATAATTTGAAAATACTAAAAATATATTAATTTAAAATAAATAAATAAATTTAATTTGTTTTAAAAATATTTTTAAAATATAAAATTAAACAGGATGGAATCATCTTATTTAATGAACAAAGCTTGAATGGAAATATCTTGATCCTAGCTTAGGTTTTATGAATTTAGACAAATTAAAATAAATTATCAATTCTAATCTGAATTAAATTAATAAAAAATAAATAACTAAAGTAATAAAAAAAAATCAATCTTTTAATTTCAACTGTTGTTACCTATCATCCGCATATTTTGTTGATCGGAGATAAAAGTTGTTTTATGATTTCCTTTTATTCCGTTTTGGCCTATCTAATAAATCACAGTTGCACTGTTTACTTCGAAGCTTTACCCATAAAAGTATTGTTGTTTTTATATTTTAAAATATTTTTTAAAATATTTTAATTTTTTATTTGTTTTAAATTAATTATTTTTTATTATTTTTATATTATTTTGATATATTAATATTAAAAATAAATTTTTTAAAATAAAAAGTATTATTTCAATAAATTTCCAAACAAAAAGTAATTACTGTCATATTATTAAACTTTACATTTCTTATCTAGTTGAACAATGCAATAAATGATTTCCGTTTTATTTTATAATTTTGATTTTAAATACAAAGAGATGTGAAAAATTAAAACATATCTTATACATGCAATTGTTATAATGTTTTTGTTTATAGACCGACGGGGATGGAAATTTCACTAATTTTCTAGCTACCCAACCAACTGGGTTAGGCAATTTTGCCAATTTATTGAGTATCTAACATCACTCAAATCCTATATATAAAAAATCAATTTAAGTTTCTATCTTTACTTTGTAATTGAAGTTTAATATGCTATTACGAGCATGTGATAGTACTGATAATTAATTGTTATTAATCAATAACGTGTAAAATTAATATGTTAATGTCCTCTAACATCGTATAATATCTATTTATCATGTACTATAAGTTAGGTAGACATTGATGTATTCTTTTTAAATTACATAATATAAATAAATTTAACAAATAATTAATAAGCACATAATTTAACATCTTATACATGATTTTTATATATAAAAGAGATCTTGAATGATTTATATATATAATCTTACTAATCATTAACAATTTACTAATTAGATTATATCACTAATGATGTTTGATGATATGATTTTATACTTTTAAATCGCATCTTCTATTAATATTTTAAATATATATGACTTAAAAATAAAATTATTGAACATGTGAGATTCTTTATATAATTTTATTAGGATATTATTATGTCAGGCATTAAAAAAAAAAATGTGGAAGAGAAATTCTTTTGAAAATATGAAAAAGAAATTAGGTCAAGTCAAGTGGGGTCCCGACAGAAAAGATCCGTCGCCAGCCTTCACTCAAGAGGGGTTGATGGGAGGAGGTCTTATCTCTATTTTGTTTTTATATTTAAAAAATATTTTTAGAAAAAGTTAAATATTTTTTATTTTTTATTTTAAATTATTTTTTTAAAATTTTTTAATGTGTTGGTATTAAAAATAAAAAAATTATTTTAATATATTTCTAATTAAAAACTATTTAAAAAATAATAAGAAGATTTCCTAACATGATTAAAAGTTTAGCATATAAAAACAACCACCTTAGGCAAAAACATCAAAAGAGGACAGCTGCAAGAGTACTGCAGATCCGAGGAGCCATCTTTCTGGTATTCTGTTTTAAAGCAAGATGAACGGCTGGATATTCAAATCTCGTCTGAAAATCAACCTGGCGAGCTGCTAGGATGATGCCGAGATTCTATCCCTTTAAAGATCATCACCTGGGGAAGGGATTTTTGGACCCATAAGAGCTATACATTATTGCAAGATCTCAATGACCTAATAGAATCTATTTTGTCTTTGTCATGGGCGGAGCCAGAAATAGATGAATAAGAAAATAATCGATTTTTGGATGGAAAACATGTAAAGTAGAAGGATATAAACGCAAACTCTTAAAGTTCTAGGACTAAAAATGTTTTTCAAATCCTTGGGGAGCCGTGACCCTCCACCAATCGACGTGGTTCCACCGCTCGTCTTTGTAGACCTCCACGCACCATCATTTTTAAAAGTAATATCAAAACTAATTAACTTCTTGAAAAAGACGTATTTATCTATTTTTTTAGAGACACTTGAAAAGAATAAGAGAAAAGCGATGAGATTATAGAAAACAAAATTATTTTTTTTATATTTTTTAAATATGTAAATTTTATTTATTTATTAAATTTAAATACTGTACACAATTGAATGAAAAGAGTAACTTCCAAAATAAATCAAAAAGATTCAATTATTGTACATTTTTAAACAATAAGACAACAGCTCAAAATCACATGGACTTCCATAGCATTACGCAAACTACAATTTCTCTGCCAAGTGGATCCTTGATGCCAGGTGCTCCCAGCTGAAACCGTGCAATTTATTTAGGCATTTTTATTTTTAAGTTTTAAAAATATTTTTGAGAATATTTAATTTTTTTATTTTTTATTTACTTTAAATTAAGATATTTTTAATGTTTATAAATCTGTTAATATAAAAAATAATTTTAAAAAAATAAAAAAATTATTTAAAAATAAATATAATTATACTGCCAAACAAACTCAAGCTCGAAATCTACTTTCATTTTATTCTTAGTGGCTTGATTTATAAGTTTGGTATTTTTTTAATTCTAATTTAATTTTTTATACTTTATATATATATAGAGAGAGAGAGAGAGAGTTAATTTTTTTTTTTAAAAAACATACTATTAACCTTTATAAAATAACAAATATTAAAAGATATATAAAAATCACATTTCACCGATTTACATTGCAATTATAATAGTCAACATTATTTAAAAATAAAGAAAAAAACTACAACCCATAACAGACCGGAGGCCAGATGAGAGAAAGATAACCCAGAAGCCCCAATATTTTAATATTTTACTCTTTTTCTCCGAGCAAGCCTTGATTTACAAATGCCGAGAAACAAGAGACTGGTATTTATAATAAGACTACAATAATAAGAGTCCGAAACTTCAAAACTTCTTCCTCCAAATATAATATAGCAAATAAATAAAATAATTTGAGCCTCCAGATTCACGTCGCCTTCCTCCCACCCAAAAAAACATGATAGCTCCTCGACAATAAAATTGAAACCACAGCACACCAACCAAATACAACAAAAGCTACGTTAGTTTTTGTTCGCAGGATTTAAATAGTACTAGGTTAATAACTTATTCAATTTATGAATTGATGCTCGAACATAAACGAAATTAAAGATTTAATTTTTCAAAATATTATACCCGAAAAAAACATGGGGCTTTTGCATTAAAATTGTAAATTGGTACAATATTGTTCAATTGTATAGAGCACGGATTTTACATGAGATTTCGTACAAATTTATGTGTTTTGAAGGGTTTTCCCATTGAAGAATTTCAATGATTCCCTTCTCAATCTTTTTGGTCTCTTTTATTAAATTGTTCATGCAAAAACCTAGAGCACTCATGCACAAGACCACCTGACTCTTCAGTTCTCTTTCCCCTTCATCATCTGCGTGAAACTTGTCTACCATTTCCTTTGAATGTTGGAGATAAGAACTGGTGACGCTATCTATCTTGTCTTCATCTAAGCCGGAAACTTTAAAAATGTTCCTGTTTGAAGATTTTCCCATTTCAAGATCATGAGAGATGTTTTTGTTTTCAAGTTCCTTTTCAAGAAATTCTAAGGATAACAACATCGTGACATCCTCAAAACATTTAACCAAGGAACCAGCCATTTCCTTGAAAATTTCAAGGTCACCATCTAGCTTAGTTACGTACTCCTTCCACGAAGCTCCAAATTTTTGTGATTCATGTTCAAGGAGTCCCACTGCATCAGCACTAAAAATCAAGAGATCCACCAGCCTTGACAAAGACCCCAAGAGATTAAAATAGCAAGGACTAGGAAAAGGCAAAAACCAGAAGTTGGGCTCCACCTCAGCTTCTCCAATGAACTTCCCTAGTTCACTAACATCCAATTTTAGTCTCCTCTGGTTCTCTAGCAAGTTGGTTTTGTTGTTGGCTGCTAGGCTTATTGAGCCAATGCAAGCTGACAATGTCTCGAAACATTTAGAAAGCTGTGTTTTGGCTAGAGAAGAAGCTCTGGTGGGTTGCAAGAGAAGGTCTACCATGATTGAGCAAGATAATCCAATAAAGGTTTCCACAATTCTTGCTATAGCAAATTCGCTTGGTGGGCCAAAATTTTTCCTGCCCAGTACTAGCACAGCTCCAATCACTGCAGAAATTCCACCTGCCTGGCCATACGTCTTGCTATGCCTCAGAAAACTAGTAACAACGAACCAAGGAAGGAGAGAGATGAACCTTATTGACAAGTGCCTTTCGAACACAAAGCAGCCAAATACTCCATATACAGTCCCTAATACTGTCCCCTGTGCTTTGGCATTGGCAACTTTGAATGTTGCCTCCCTTGCAGCAGCTAAGCTAATCGCTACAGGGAGGCCTGACCAATAACCATCATTCTTGCTATATATCAAACCAAACAGGACAGCGAGACCCAAGGAGAGAGAGCATTTGAATGCTGGCATAAGCCTTTTGCTGCTTACACTTGTAGACCAGTTGCTCATCCACGTGCTCTTGGAGAACCCAGTTTGCTTACATGGAGTGCTCGATCCTTTTTGTTGTGTGGGGGTAATTGGTTTCCCCAGTGATTTGCAGAGGAGGAGTTTCATGCAAAATAAGAAGAAAAAAGAAGGCAAATCTTGGTGCCTTGTTGAGATTGTCTGAAGTGTTTGGTGGGATTCGACAATATTATCAGCATTTGATTCTGGAACAGTTAAAGAATCTCTAGACAAACAATTCTTGATCTGTTTTTGGGCGAGGCTAACATTCTCCACTAGTTGAACTAGACCATGTTTGGTCTCTCCATCTAGAATTCTTACAGGTAATGAGGTGGTACAGCTGGTTAAAGCCATTTCCATCCCTCTTAATGGTATCTCGAGCTCTTGCAATCTCTCTCCCGGATTCAAGTACAAGTTTCTCAAAAATCTCAATGGAAGTCTCTCCCATTTCACGCTTTCCTGTACACAATCCACAAAAGAAATGGTGCATGCATGGAAGTTAATTATAAGCAACTCAACAATACTGTAACTGAAAGCTAGCCCGCCACTAGTGCGTGGTAGACACCATACAGAATCGATGGCGTTGTGTAATGTTACAAAGTTGCTTACTTGGTAGCGTGTAATACACTGAAGAAGTTTGGCTCCAGCAACAGCCAATGACCTGGCTTGAGAGATAGATGTCAACGCCAAAGCGTTGTCTTCCGCACAGAAAGCTTTTACATAAAGGTTCAGCCTCTCAGAAACATTTTCTGCTAGCCTTTCACAATTCAGTTTCAGCTGCAAAGTGATTTTTACAGGATTAACAATATTTATCTTCCACTCATCACAATTTTTTTTTTAAATATGATTATAATGCATGTTTATGCAAGGAGAATTAAGGATAATTATCAGTTACCTCCCAACAAGCCAGTCTTGGATACGGTAACAGCAAGGCAAGAACACAAGCTAAGACTCCAATAGCAGTACTAGCGGCTACATGCAAAGCATGCATAATAGCCTCGGTATGCACACCATTGATAAAAGCTACAACGTACACGATAACAATCTGACCCAATGCAATTCGCTTTGCAACTAAATGAGTCCCCTCAGGAAAAACCACCACAAATGCACCCACAGCCACTGCTAATGATATGGTGCCACCAGTAAGCATAGCTGGACCAATCAGCCAAAGGCTGAGCAGAGCCGGCCCCACGCTCTGGACCGTGGCATAGAGTGCTAGCCAGCAACCATGAAGAGCGTCACCTAAGGTTGCATCAGTGACTATGAGTATTACAGTCGCATAAGAGAATGCAGGGAAGGCTATATGGTGACGGATAGAAGCTGGACCGTAGAGGGTGGTGCAACCCACTATAGTACATGCCAGGGCAGTCCTGAACGCCGAGGCCAGGCATCGGAGCCACACAGCTCGAGCTCGGTCTGTTGCGGCTGACATAATTACAGGGATTGGTCTAGGCTCTGCAGATAATATTGCTCAGCGCAATGCTTGAAGGTGTGGGATTTGGATTGATAAGAGCTGAGATTATATAGCACAATAGTCCTACAGAGGTTGACAGTCAGAAGAGGGGATGTGGGAGCTGATGTGAGACTTCGGCGTGCTGCAAATACTCGGTGTTGGAACAGCATTGAATTGCAGTCAGTCAGGTTAAAGTTAGAGTGGCCAACTAGGCATGACTCATCAGCTTAATTAATTAATATAGAATAATAGCCGATTAATTTGTATATATAAAACCATAACCAAAATTAAAATAAAATAGTATACTATAAACTATTAGTTAAATTAATTAGATTTTGAGTTTATTTTTCTAGAATTTATTCTATAAATTTTAAAATTATTAAAGATTTATATAATTATTAATTTTAAAATTTATAAAATTAGTTAAAATATGTATCAACGATATTTATATTAATAAAAAAAATATAACTAATGATAATATAAAAAATACAATAGGTTCAAGTAGGTATAAGCCCTAATCTCCAAGACGAGACATTTTTGCTTTATGACCTCCCTTCGAAACATTCTTATTTTCCCCCTTTTCCTTTATGAATAAGGTCTGCTATCATAATATGTTACCAGTTCATTGCGCCGAAAGAGTGCTAACATGCGGAACTTTCATGTCAACAAATATATGTACATACATGTGGCTTTTAGGCGAGGCCCTATAATTAAATTCATTATATTGTATGTTGTAAATAAAAAATATAATTTGATGATCGATACATTTTAAATTTTAGCGTAAGTTTTGAAATGTGTTTTTAGTTCAAGTAATGGAGTATAAGTTCTCGGTTTATGTGAGCTAAAAAATTCAAGTTTCCATTCATTATATTTAATGTTTTAGGAAAGAAAACAAAAAAACAATCGGTGATAAATACATTCAAACTTAAATGTAAATCTTGAGATGTGTTTTTAGTACAAGTTCAAACTTTAAGGTAAGTTCTGAAATATAATATTTTTGGCTCAAAGCAATGGAGCACATTATAGGAATTTTATTTGTTTTTTCTTTAAAATTTATTTGATCATTTCTTTTAATATTTTTTATAATAAAAAAGCATCAGTGATTTGATATGTGTTTAAGTGGGAGTTGAATAATTATTTCTAAAAAAAAATAAAATATACAAGCTTTTCAAATATGTTTATTTAATTAAATATATTAAGAATCATCTATGCTAATAAAAACAAAAGATGAAGTGTTAACAGGTTTATTTAACTGGCATTTTCATAAGTTGAATAATTTTTTTAATATAAAATAATTATTATATAGGTGTTAAAGTGTTTTTTGACATCAAATAAAAAATATAATTATGAATAAAAAGTTAATACTTATATATAATAAAAATCATATATGTAATAAAAATATATAAGATTTTAAACTAATTTTTAATATAGCACAAAAATAAACCAATGTTATAATTGATACAGGGAAACATTTCTTTAGTTTTTATATAATAATTTCTCAAACTAAAAGGTGTAAAGAAAAAAATTACAAAAAAATAAAGATAAAAACAAAAAAAAGGTATAAATAGGTCAAATTTAAAGTGATAAATATTCAAGTTGTAAAAAGTAAAAAATAATATTTTTCTTTTCAAAAGAAATGTAAAGAAAAAAAAAGGAAAAACTAAGAAAATATTAAAAAATTAACATAACAAAAAAATAATGATAACTAAAACAAGTATAAAATGATAAAAATATCAAGTATAAAATGAAAAAATATGAGAAAAACATGTTATCTAAAAAAACCAAATATTATAAATTTTCCAGGCAATAGTACTGCTACAATTAAAAAAATTGACAAAATTTATAATTATATCATTTCAAATAAAACTAAAAATTATAACTTTACTAGTACTGTTATAATAAAATAAATTCATAAAATTTATAATTATATCATTTCTACATGAAAACACCATTTGCTTTGAGTAAATGTATAATCTTCCTTTCAACTTTTCATCTAATTAAATACACACATTTTTCCTTTCAAGTTTTATACTTTACCTTTACTTTTATTCTTTCTTAGTTTTCTTAGATTTTTCAACAACAAAAACAAACATCCTAAGGATTTTTATATTTTTTTATATTGAAACCTTAATCTTTTTTCTCATGTTAAATCTATTAGCTTGTTTGGATTTTTTTTAAAATTTCAATATTTTTTTTAATTTTTTTTTATCTAATTCTTATTTGGATTATATGTTTGTAATTCAGGATTATAAAACTTAATTTAGTTTAATAGATTAATTTAAGATTCAACTCAAGTTAGATCAATAAAAATCTTAATATTTTAAAATTAAAATAACATTGTTTAATAAAAACTTGGATTGAATCGAGTAAACTTATCTAATTTGAAATATAGTGATTGTGCTGGTTGAATTTTCATGCTGAATCTTATAACCATGTGTAAAACATGTATTTGTTTAATCCTAGGTAGTTACCATCTTTTTGACAATTTAAATACTAGATGTTGTTTTTAATACGTTCTTCCAAGAAGATAAGATATAATTGGTAACAACATCTTAGAAACAATCATATTTGTTTTTATTTGGATTTTATTAATGTAGAATGGCACTTAGAGATGCAAAGTGAGATATAATTAGTTCACACGTCAAGTAGGTACGTTGTCTCGATAAACTATATAAATTAAGAAATGAAAGAAAAATTATAAGTGCTTTGTAGTGCTAACATTCACCAAAGGAGTTTGGAATTGGGCTGGGTTTCGATTTTATTCATTATTATTATTATTCTAATCTCTTCCGCCTAGCTAAATCTTATCCCTTGAGTTGAGACCTCCAAAATGATACCTCAAGTCTCCTTAACTTGCCCACTTGGAGTATATATTATATAGTTTCTAAATAACGGCATGAATGTTTGGTTAATGAGAAATCAGGATAAGGGTTTCCAGTAATGGCTGAGAGCCCAAGACTTTAACTAAAACAGACAAGCCGACTCATTGGAAGATGAAGAGCCTACAGCTCTCCAACAGGAGGAGGGAAATTAACTTTATTACAGTCCCACGAAGCATCCAGAACATTCAAGCATGGCAATTTAATAGAAATCACGGCAAATACATTACACTTTAAGTGGGGTTTCTATCGATGTCCACTTAACATGTTTTCGGCAGGCCATCTTGTTCTAGTTTGTGTTCTTTGAGAAGGAAGGGTCCGGAGGGTCATCGCTGATGTCCTCATCAAATACTCCATGTATTAGTGCTTCAAGTTAGTTAAAGCAGAGTTGCTGCTGCTGCTGCATGCATACTATCCCTCGTCCAATCTCTCTCTCTCTCTCTCGCTTATTAGGTAAAGTGCCCATGGAGCTCATCACATGCTTATGCCACAAGTCTTAGTCGAAGGAGCATGGAGAGACAGTCACACTACCAGGCCCCCACTACCCATGCACCCAATTAGTGCGTTTTTGGTAGTAAGATGGAGTGAGTTTTTGTAAAAATATTAGGTAACACACACACACACATATATATATATGAACAAATTAATTAGTTATAATAAATTAATGGCAGCAGTAGATGGAGAAAAACGATATGGAAGATTGAGATACAGGTGGAAGTTTTTTTTTGATGATATGAGCACCAAAATTAATGAGCATCCAAAAATTGAAACAAGTCAAGTGAGTGATAACATATGGAATCCTTTTTGTCACGACGTCGCATGCCCCGACTGTTCCGAATCCGAAAGGCCACATTTACTTGTCTTCCTTCCACATACAGAAAGAAATCCAAATAAATAAAAGGGAAAGTTCTAAAGGATAAAAAAGAGAGGTGATGAACAACTTTTAAGTTATAAATAAATAAAAGGGAAAGTTCTAAAGGAGAAAAAAGAGAGGTGATGAACAACTTTTAAGTGCACGGGCATGTTGGAGCAGCCCAGGCAATTGAATATTCTTTGACAAATCACCAAAGTAGAAGACTTCATGTCTTACCTTAATAATCTATACAAAGAGTAACAAATATATATATAATTAACCAAATTAAACATAGGATTTAGGAAATGCATATGTCAGTAATCTAAAGCATTCATCACTTCCATGTCACTAAGTATAAAAAAATTCCTTTAAAATTTTGAGTTCATAAAAAAATATGATTATTTAAATTATTATATTGATTTGACGCAATCAATCCTCCTCATGAATCTAGTTTTGTTTTCTTAATCCATAAAAATATCTATTAAATTATTCACATGATTTATTTAAAATAGATCCTCGTGTAACTTCATCACTTGTCTATTCTAAAACTTTAATTTGAGGTAATTCAATAACTTTACTAGGATTAGAAAAAAAAACCATGAATAATCATCTTGAAGGATGAACATATTAAACTTTTTTCCCTCTTTTTTGCTCTTAAGATATGAAACAAGTAAATATTTTATAGGGAAAAGATTGAATTTAGATTTCTCGTGAAATTAAAACATCAATATTGATCATGTTCATTAAAAAACCATGGATAATCATCTTAAAGGGATGAACATATTAAACTTTCTTTCCCTTTTTTGCTCTTAAGATATGCAATGAGTAAACATTTTATAAGGAAAGATTGGATTTAGATTTTCTCATGACATTAAAACATCATTGTTGATCATGTTTAAAAAGAATAAGAAGAGAGGTGAATAATGGAAATGTTTTCCTCAATTATTTTTGGAGGATCACATGTTGTTTTATTTATAAATATTTTTGGATGAGAACAACTCTATTACAAGATACATTTGAAAATATTTGAATTTATAGAGAATTTGTTATTTCCTGATTTTGCTTCCTTGAACGTGATCTTTCTTAGTTGTTTTGAATTTAAGCTTTATTTGGTACGTGAGGCTTATCTATTTGTTGAGATTTAGTTGCTCCATTACACCCCACTCAATCCCAATAGGAGCTCGTGAATATTGAGATTGTCGCGGATATTGTAGAACCGTGCAACTGGAAGTGCCTTTATGAATGAATCAGTGATCTGATCTGTACTGGAGATGACATTGCGCAACCTA